CATGTTTTATTTACTTTCCGTGTTTCTATAGTTTGTCTGGTTTTCCCACTGTGTTGTGTGGGGCAGGATTCCTGCATTGCTTATAATATATGCACCTCAGTTCTGGAGAGATCAGACTAAGGATATAACACTGATTTCGTGGAAAAGGACCACCAGAAATGCAAAAGAACAAGAAATCTAAGAGTTGCCAAAGACGATCACTAGAAAAATTAATATGGAAAAGTCATCAAATTAATTTCAGATGTCAAAGAATACAATTTGTCTTATTATTTATGTTGTACTTCATTAACATCTAACAACATTTCTTTGAAGTCGGCGTTAAGATCATGTATTGTGAACCTCTTGACTAATCAAATTGTGTGTACATATTGTAAATATGTTAAATTATGGGTTAAAACTATTTGTAATACGATTGTCTATTATATATAGTCCCTTTGAGCGACCGAAAGAACAAGGTAGTGATAGAATTTACCATATTTCACACATGTACACACAATACATCCGAAAAAAAATAAAGAAACGAAATTCGTCTTATTTAGATAGATTTAAACCCTACTACACTAAATAATACCCGATATATATCTGTTACATCATTTGACTCATAGGTTATACGACAAATTGACTTTCATTTCTCTTCTTAGTGAACGTAGGAAGAAATACTTTCATGTTATTATCCAAAATAAATATCCGTGACGTTGGCGGCTGTTGGTATTTCTACATTTAGATGCTCGCCCGGCATTATACCGGTGCAGACTATTAAAAAAACTGGTACATTTTAACACACTTTGATAAACTATGAATAGACAAACAGTGTAGTCAGAAATGAAATGAAATGGGGTTTAACGTTCAACTTTTATGCATTAATTTGGCTAAATTCCGACTGTCCAACTATCAAATCATTTAAAATGGCTTTCGACTTACCATATTAAAAAAATAACTCCAACTAAGTGCCAATGAAAAATGTCTGCGATGACGATTAATACGGAGATATAAGATTTTATCAATGGCTTTGAAGGGTAAACAAGAAGAAAGATAGATAGGCATTAGATCTCTAATTAACACAACATATTGTATTGTTTGCTGTATCACTAATGAGGTACCTACAGTGGTAAATACCACAACCTTTTACTTTTACTTAGTTCTTGACAAGTATACTGACAGATTCAAGGTGTCCTTCGCGTACAATGAAGATGTTTTCAACACAGAACTTGCTTTTGGGAAAAGAGCTTACAACGGTATTTATGCTTAGCCATTTCTATAGTTTCTGGATTCTTCGAATTGCAATTTGAACAACAAATTTGTTTGGAGAAAAAGAAATCAAGGAAATAAGTTGGATGCAATATAGTTGTGGTAATCTATATGATTATTTGTTACAGTAAACATGTTTACAACGAGAAACCTGAAGTTTGGGAATTAAACCTGTAATGGTACATTTGCTTAGCTACGATTCTTCTTTTTCTTAGATTTAGAATTTGAAGTCATACAAATATATAAAATATTTTACTTAGTCTAGACAAAAACAGTATTAATCATGTTAAATTGGTATTTTTGAATGTTTAGCGCTTTGAGCCTCTGGCACCTTCATTAATATAACAATAACGTTAACAAAATTTAGATTTACAATGCCGCGTATTGTTATATCCCTTTAAAGTAAATAAATTACCGATACAATATTGTTGTGGTAATCGATATGATTAATAAAACATTGATATTTTGAAGTATATTATCTAGGAATTCAAGCTTAACATCTAATAGTCTCCATTGTTAAATATTTGTTTGCGAAGGAATGGTGTTCTGTGAGCTTCATCTTTCGTCCTATTTATGTAGTTTAGCATTTTACTATAACGCTGTATAACGTTCAATACTTGCTATTAATCGTATAGCTTCACATAGTTTCTTTCCTGCACCGAGCAGACAATACATGGACGCGAGGAGATATATTTAGTATGGCTACCATATGGTAAGTAAAAGTTGATGATGCCAATTGTAACATTCTGGCTAGTTTCACCTCTATATAGTCTATGTTTTATATATAGATCTATTTGTATACTAGTGTTAATGTTCTAAGTTATTCGGTACTATCTACATTATAACTCAATCACTGATTTTCATATAATGAACTTTCTATTAGTACTTAGTGCAAATCAAAGGTTTTTACGACGAATTTAGAGACGCATATAGCGATTAAAAACTCAATGTCACCGAAGGCCAATAAATATAATTCCTTATTTAAATGTAACATAAGGGGATGGTGTGTGTGTGTGTGGGGGGGGGGGGGCTGTAAAGTGTTCTTCGAGTTGGATTTTAGACGACTAAAACATGAAAATAGATTAGATGCCCTTTTGAGTTCGTTGTTCGTGAATGGAAATGAATTTTTGTTCAGGCGTCGACAGCCGATTATAAAAATATAAAGATCTAAGTTTATAGCGCGAACTCATTGATTGCTTTTAACAAATATGCTCTTTGGCTAGACTGTACTTTTGCGTATGGTTTGAAAGTCTGTATTTGCCTTTGAGGCAGGAATAATGGGCCATTAAAGTGGTGGTCTCGGATTTCTCGAGTATACATTGTGGCTTGATATTCGTAGAATATTTTTCTGGATGACGGAGGCAACATGACTTGCTGAATATGTCTAGTCTCGTTCTTCGAGTCCCTTGTTACCAATGTTAAAATGTTTATTTTGTCTTAAATATTGGATACAGAAGCCCATCTTTTCCCGGTAAGATCAATGTTGATTTAAATTGACAAATAATTCGTGTTTTCAATATGAATGATATTGAGTTAAAGACTTGGCTACTTTAACTAATACCTTATAGATAAATCACTATAAGTTTCTATGAACTTTGACATTATCTGATAATTTCAATATTTACAATGCTAGAATAAATCATATTTGTTCTTAAATTATTTAATTGTTATTTACCGGTTATGTACGATTTAGATAGAGAGCAATCCATTCTCGCTATACTATTTCAAATATAGATAATGCAAATTGAATATATTGAAAATGTTAATGACATTACTTTATTTTGAGCGAAGTTATCATTTAATGGTTGTAGTCTTGACAAGATGTGTGCATTGATAATAACCGCCGTGCTGGTCATTTGGGTCTTAGCCTCGCTTCTCCATTTTTAATATATTCGAATTTCATTTAAATTACTTTATAATGAGCGAATATTCATCATTTATTGGCTGTAGTCTTGGCAAGATGTGCGTATTGATCGTAACCACCGTACTGGTCCTTCGAGTCGTAGCCTCGTTTCTCCATTTTTAAATTAAATCATTAAATGGCTGAACCGTTCTAATTTACTTAAACTCGGATCAATCCCATGGCACCGAGAGTTAATTATGGTCGTGTCATGTTAATAAATGTCTAATTATTAATTTATATAAGGCTCAAAGAAATCCCTGCACTGTAACAAAAAAAAAAAAAAAAAAAAAAAAATCCGTGAAAAAACGTAAAAAATTTGGAAACAAAAATTACCAGGAAAATTTTATTCGTATTTGTTTTTCTTTTAATTTACAAAAATTCCTTCAATTAACATAGAGGCTTTTTGATGTTAGCTTGTGGCACTATCAATTTGCAGGTATGTGAACTCTTCTATAGAGACAAACCGCCTTACACTGGCCAATCGGTTATACTATCCGGATTTAAGCGTGCTTGATTACCAGATAATACAACCTATACACACGGAGCGCTAAAACATATTTTTATACATTTATGAAAATACTTACAGTCTGATTACCGTATGGCGAATAACAATACACTTTATAGATCTTATAAATAATGGCATGTAATATACAAAATTTACAAAATATTATGTTTAATAAATTGAAATGAATACTATAACATGATAATTATCTGTACGATTACTTATCGTATAACATGTAATTCGTACATTCCTGGTCATTCCACCGTTTATCCCGTAAAATAACAGAATTAAGTCCATTATAGAATGGAATAAAACATTTATCACTATTTCACGGAAAGTGAATTATTGAAATCAAAACATAGCATATGTTAATTCCGAAATGACCCGTGTGGAAAAGAAGATAAACCCCTGAGTGTATCTCTTGCTCTATTGTAACTCACATTTGAAGATAGGATGAGCGGACTGTGTAGTCAAAAAGTATTTGCTATAAGCCTAGCCTAAGGTTTCTAAAGCTTACACATATTCTTGAAACACCCGAAACTACTTAGTATTTAAACATGAGGCTGGGGACCCTTGGATCTTAGGTTACCTGTATCCAGTAGTTTCGACTTCTGAAAACCAAGTCAAAACGGAACCTCCGTTTAGGTAGAAGTAGTGACGTGACTTCTAATTGAAGACAGTCTAAAAACAAAAATGGATATTTTAATTCTATTTCGACTGTATCATAGAACGTTAGTGTTACTATGTCTAACAACCCATATTTACCTTTAATTACATTTAAAATACAGATGTGACGTCATCCTTTGATGTTGACGTACCATTATTTCAAATAATGGTACGGACAATGTGCCAAGCGTACTAGTTGAAATTTTGAACGCCTTGTGACGTATTTCATTGCAAAGCACATGCGAGATCTGTATTTTAAGTTGTTTAATGGTCTCGAGCTTAAGGCATTGCCTAATATATTGAAACAACAGCTCGTCGGGACTACGTCCCTCGTGTTGTTTCAATATATTACTTAATGTCTCGCTCTCGACCATTTAACCACACATTCAAGGACTCTTACATTCAAATAAACATATCATAAACTTAATTATATCGCATACAATTGTAATTCATTGTATATGCATTGTGTATGTAGGACATTCCTATACTAAATCTTTTTGTAAGTAAATAAAACGTGACAGCAATGATCATTTCAAGGTAAAATATAATGCTAGTTATTCAGATAAAGATACTTTCAATGACTTCAACTAAATGGTTACTTAATGATACTTTAGTCATAAATTGAGTCAGTTAGCAACACCATGTTTATCAAACAAAATACAGTTACTTACAAAACCAGAACCGCGTCACTCATTTCAGTAAAGCACGAAGCCAAGAGCAATGTGTTAGTTAAGTCACAAAATCGAATATTTTCCTCATTTGGGTAACGTTCGTGACAGGTTGGATATTTTTAATGAGTGGTAGCGGGTAAGATTATTACAATGTAATCTATTATAATCTATGCTTCGTCCATATAAGATTAATAACCAGTTATAGCTTACTTCTTTATGTCATTACGATTTGAACAAATTGTTGATCTAAACGGCATGGCGGTTAAACTATATTCTGGTTAAAGCCCCCCCCCCCACCATCCACCCTCAATCCTCAATCCAAAGCATATCTCCATTAGTCCTCACCGCATGACAGGTTAGTAAAACGTCTCTACTCTACGATAGTCTGGGATATTACATGTGCTGGATTATTTGAACTCGAGACAGTACAACCTATGTAATGAACACCTAGGACTGGCCCTAGTACATTTACTTGATTTGATATAGATCTTTCATGATTTTACAATGTCATGTTCGTCTCTGTCTGGTGTAACTGGTTGTCGAGTTTAATAGTATTCTTTGTGAGTTGGCCCCTTTGTAGTAATACTCCCGTAACCTCGTCTGGTTTATCTATGAGAAAAAACAATTAAACCTGTGCCTGTACACCTTTTGCATTAACATCAAATCGTTTTGTTTATTGAAATATAAAGACATATAATTAAACTTTGCCAAATGTTTTAAGTATAAAATGACTCAGAAGTTTCGGTTGAAAAAGTCTAGATATAAGTAAATTGGATGTATTGATTTGTTTTACAAGAAACTTATTTTTGTAGAGTAAAACATTCTCATTCGAAGATTGTGCTAGTGATGAAATATACCGGCAGATCACCCAACAGGTGATCAAGCAAATTTAAGTGCGCAGTTCAGTTCAAATCTACCTGGTTCTCCTTCCCCATTAAATATTTCATTTGTGAGTGAAATTATGTAGTTGTACGGGGTTGATTATGAGTTTGTTGTTTAGTATATAAAGTAATTGTAAATGTATGATACATTTTGATACTTGATCATGGATATTATATGGTTGTACGAGAATGATTACAAGTCAATGATATATAAATTCTGACTGTATAGTATACAGATTTATTGTAAATGTGTTTTTAGTTAAGAGAAATAACTTCCATTGAACACATAAGTTAGTTATGCTTATATGTTTATCGGCAATAAAGGAGTAGGAGGTAATATTAAACACACAAGAATGTAATCTCAGATCACGAGGAAGAATTTTTAGATGTAATAAGTAAGGTTTATTATTGGTTCATAATAACCATGCCTTATATATGCCAAATAGCGCTGTGTACCAGAATAGTTCGTTTAACCCGGTGAAAAATTTGAAACTTAAAAAGACATAAATTTATCTATTTTATCACGAATTCTTTTTACAGTAATTTGTGAACTAGTTAAGATCGAGGAAGTGATAAGTAACCAACAACAGAACAACCCACAACTTGATTTAATTAATTACGACTTTTTCTGTGCATGTACTGTGCAATTCTAAATTCGTAGAAAACAACTGAATATGTGTACCTTATAATTTAACATGTAAACATGATTAATTATACACCCTACCTTTAGTTAGTTATTCATGTGTATGATATATATTATATGATATGTGTTATACATCTAAATATAGATCAGTATCTTATCAAGATTATACCCGTTTGTTGTTATATATTGTTTCCAGATTACAGAGCAACTAGTAATTATTTTAGTAACGTAATCGCACCATGAGTCATTTACAAGAGGGTAGGAAAAAGAGTAGTTAATGTCAAACCCTTGACTAAAGCCGGTTTAGGGTTTTATTTTGTTAATTTGAACAACAATTTTAATAAATGGGCAAGAGCTGCGCTTGAGAATATTTTTGAAAATGTGCATACTTATTTTCTCCCATAATGTTATATAATAGTAATGCTAATCAAACAGATATGGAAATGTTACATAATAGCATATTAATATAGTTTTTTTGTTAAAGATTCCACTGACTTTTGATTAACAATAGGTTTAATACTTTAAATGATTGGATGCTATTTAAATACCGAAAATATTTTCTATAAGCTCCCACCAGATAGAAATATTAAAACATTTTGAGTTTTACCATGACTGCTTTTCAGTGTGTGCTTAATTACATCACCGGGTGATATAGTTCAATAACAAATTAGAACGAAATGAAATTAGACAGAAATGAAATATTAGTGATAAAGTTAGGGACTATATAAGTCTACACCAGCGTCCGAGTAACAGTCGAGTGGATTTTTTTTTACCTGGCCTGTATTAAGATGCTCTAGCGTCAGCATCCAATCACGTGACTAATCCCCGTATAACCTTTGTTTTATTCAGATCGGCACTAACTAGCAGGATAAACACACAGCTTGCTATTTTACCTACATACCCATCTGTTGATATCAGTCAAAAATAACTTCCTACTGTGTTTGGATGTTGGTCTATAACCTTGGAGAAAAAGGTACATATTCGTTTTATAAGGTTGTGTTATCATTAGGCTTTAAACATTAGGATTACACATAAAGACTTTATTTACATTACAAAATGTATAGAGAGAGAGAGAGAGAGAGAGAGAGATGGGGTTTAACGTCCACTCGACACAGACGAGGTCATTTCGGGACTTACATATGGTTTAATTTTATTTCAATAATTCGCTTGCGCGTAGGGGAGGAAACCGGAGATCCCGGAGAAAACCCACGAGGCTGTACAGGCAACCCTACTCCTTGTCACGTACAACCGGGGATTCCAAACCACGCCTGTTGACTCAATGACAGGCCTTATGATACAGCGCGCACGTGCTAACCATTCGGCCATCCAGACCCCCAACAAAATGTATAAGATGATATCACGCGTATTATATTATGCATTATTCATTTAATAAAAAGAAACATTCATATCAAGTTCATTCCGGGTTTTTATATTCTGCTTACTGAAGATGTACCATGTACTGACTGTATCGATGAATTAGTCAATTGTTACGAAAAATGACAGTCAAACCAGGGACAATGCATATATAGACATCAAGTTAGAAATATTTTTTTAATCTTTTTTTTACAGGCTTTTCTTTTGAGAGCAATGACATATTAGTTATATACAGATACCATGGGAGTTAACGTTTCAAAGGAACAAAATAAACCAATAGAGAAGAGTGAAGAATCCAGCTCCAAATCACAGAATTTAAAGGAACAGTCGGAAGTAAAACAGACCAATGTAACGGATGATAATACAAATCACAAACAGGCAAGACTTCCTGTAAGTACCCTCTTCCTAAAAAAAGCATGAGTTCTCTGATAACCGAACTTATTTATCATTAGCTAACAGAATTGGAAGCGGGGTTTTAAAGTTAAAATATAAAGTTCTGTAGGAGAGAGACATCTTGTGATTTTTTTTTAAAAACAAAGGGCCAAATTTCCGCGTTTTTCAGTTTCATATCTTTGCACATATTGAAATCAAATTTAACCTTTATGCCGATGAACATAAAAATCATAAATTTATCTAATAAGGGCACTAAGGAAAAAATTGTTATCAGGTGTCTCAGCCAATGACCACACAATGTGCACACTGCACAACCGCACGAATCAATCAGTGCAGCCAATATTGATTGTTTAAACACACCATTAAACCATTATTGTTTTACATTGAATGAAGGGTTAAGATAAATCATTCTTACCTAATGTCAAAAATATGATATCCTCTATTGACCATTTTTAAAAAGAATCTTAGCTCCTCCACTTTCGTCATAATAATTTGCCTTGCACCGTAAATTACAGTTAGGTACTCCACCAACCCAGTTGGTTTACCGTTGTAATGTTTACATACTTTACATTTCAACAAATATTGAGTATATTTTTTTAGGGAGGGGGAGGGGTATTAATTTAAAGTCCCTGTATGTCAGAATAACCGTTTTAAACAGACGGTTTGCTAAAAGAAAAAGGGATTCTTATCCAAAAAATTTCAAATCGGTCAATTCTAAGTTAAAGATGCATTATATAAGTTTTAGATAAAGGACTGCCGTTCTTGTTACAATGAAAAATAATATTTAACATTTCATTCAAATTACTTTAATTTCGGACCGAAGTTATAAATGTGTGAAGATGTGGCGTAGATATTTATTATATTTTAAGTCTCGATTATCCATTTTATCGTTAAATCCATTTAAATCTTGGCCATCTAGAGAGTTGATTATGTGTTTGTCACGTGAAATGTCTAAATAATAGTTTATACACCATTTGAAGCCAACACAAAGACCCACAACAGGCATATTTGTTTAGCTCTTACATAATCCATAATTAAAGGAGCTAAGTCTCTAACTCAGTGTTTTCCATAATATTCGAAATTAAAAACACCAATTAGAATTCAATATTATTCAATTTCAATCAACATTGATGTTGTTATCTTGCCGTGCAACTATAGGACCCTAATATCCAATATTTAAGACACAATTAACAATTTATAATCAGTACACGAGTCGTGTACCCTAAGGTTTCGGGTGCCCTTTTATAATGAACAAATAAAAACATATTCTAGAACAAACGACAAAATAATAATTTTAAAAAAAACAAACACCCCCCCCCCCCCCCCAAAAAAAAAAAAAACGTGTGAAATGCACTAAGCAGGCGTAAACGACTGTTGTTCAATTTGAACTGTTCACGTATATTTCACCGAAATTACAATATTCTTTTTCAAAAATTAAATATATAAATCACTGTACATACATTCATATTATATTAATATGTGCTTTCAGAACCATTTTTGTCTATTCCAAGGTTAAAAAGAATAGAGCCATACGCCCTTTATTAACAAATGGTTTTCTTTTTAGAAGAATATAGTAATAATTATTCTTTAGCTCGCCCATTTATTTTACATTCGAGTGTGCGTAATTAAACAATTTCAACAGTTTATGATATTAAAGATATATTTGAACGGTCTGGCTTGATGTACCTTTAATTAATGTGGAATTCAGGTCGGTAAAATAATCACCCGGGTTTTCATAGTGACGGTAAAAAGTTTATTATAAACAGTGTGTTCTGTAAACAGCAACCTTTGAAGATGTATTTTACCCCAAACACCTAAATAATATTATAGCAATCGACCATTATTCTCACAATTATTTCTACTTATGTCAATAAACTTGACACAGAACCTAGATTAGAGAAAAGTAATTACAGCAGATGTCCTATTGTCATTATCTATTCAATTTATAGAATTAATAAAATAATATCGATTCCAGTTCATTTCATGGTAAGAATAGATTTTAATGGTTTACGACTGTTATATGTACAGGCATTAACGTCATAATCCTTAGTTACACTTTTAATGTATTACAGGTATGCCCTGTAACTATGTTATGTACCCGTAAAGGTATCTAGTGCTTCTGGCCCGGGGAATAATAAGCGTGCGCGTTTGGACTGAAAGGAAACTGCACATTATGTCATGTACACTTTGCGGAGCGAGTCGAAAAATGTTAGACCAAAACAAACACCAATAAGAAGTACATCGATTAGTCAGAATATCAACAGTGTTTATCTTTTACCCTAGATGGGGATTTTTCAATTTAAACGCTTACTGTAAAATACTTCAAAACCTAATATTGCGTAACCCAGAACATCATGACAGTTATGTTGTAGCTTACTATGGTCGTACACTAATAGAAGTTTTGCCATTGAAAACATTGATTACTTTAGCATATCGATTAAATACAGTGATGGTTAACTATGGATATGTTTTACTGTCTTTTAAGTATCTACTGTCGGTATCACGTAATAATAAATCATGTTTTATGGTTTAATTATAGATTGTTTAATAATATGCTGCATATTTTGCCCAGGTGTGTGCATATCGATTATTTGATAAAGTTAATTGTATTAACCTATGTTTAAATATAACTGGGTTGTTATCGTTTTTAAAGAACGAAGAGAAAGACCTGATTTAGTTTAAACAACATTTTATTTCGAGTACAACATGCGTATATATACAATACTGATATAATGAATTTGAATATCTATAGTGGTTTTCAAAACTTCAGCAAACGGCATGAAAATTGCTTTGATCTAAGTATTTAAGTAGACCAGTCCGTAGATTTTTAATATATAGTTGAGCTGGGGTTAATTTGATTATTATATTATATGAAATCCATTACATTTTTTTCTTGTTAAAAGTTCTCATACGTCTTGAAGATGACACGATAGTGGCTTTTTGTGGAAAAAAACCCTTATCATGGAAAAGGAATAGATTATTTTGAATTTATTTTTGAATCCCCACCATTACTAGTTTTAATATATATATATATATAATCAATGTATAAATAATTCTTTTCATCTATATTACAGCAAGCCAATAGTTCGGCAGCGAAAGATCCAAAACCGTATAGCAAAGCTCCGCCACCACCACGCCCACCTACTAAAAGTAAAGATGAAGTGTTTAATTTAAAAGATTTTTCGGAAGTTGATCAGCACGCATTGAATGTAAGTACAGCTCACTGAGAAAATATCAACTCATTTGATGGCATCGGAGATGATCATTATATAAGGCAGATCTTTCTTAAGCAGTGAATCGAACAAAAAGATATCTTTTTCATTGTTTGAATACAATTTAGCCAAGTATACAAATATCCAAATATATTTTAAGAGTAAAACACCCTTTTTCTTATCGCTACACAATTAAAACTGGTTTAACCCTCATCATCATTCAATAATTTTAAGCTATTTTATTTGTACATATATTTTTGTAGGCACCAAACAAGTTGATGAATGGCACATTCCGTGAATTAGTGAACTATTTAACATTGAATCAACAATGGGACGACATTGCGCGAGTTCGAGCCATTTTTCTGTGGGTGACATCTGTAGATGTGTATGGTTTAGAGATAGAGGATGACCCACCGTCACAGTCCCCGCTAGAATACTTCCTTAAAATTCAAACTAATTCGGGAAACCATGCACATTTATTTTCTGGGTTATGTCAGTAAGTATTACAATTTCATCAGATCGTATGTGGTTGCCTCAAGATCACCATCTTGTTCAATCAAACAGTTGTTCTCAGTAAATATCAATATCATTAATACACATTTCTATACTGTATCGTATTATTACGTTGATTCTTTTTTTACAGAATGGCTAATATACCATGTACTATTATTAGTGGAATGAATAAAAGTGCAGCCTATGAAATAGGAAAACCTGCGAATAGGAAGACAATGGGAGCTCAGTGGAATGCCGTATACTGTGGTGGTGATTGGAGATTTGTAGACGCATTCTGGGCTAGTGCTTGTGTGGTTGGTCGTAAATCTCGAGAGTGGGCTCTGGTTGATTCAGATGGAAGCCCAGTCGACCAGGAGGAGGAGGACGATGAAGGTGAAACCCAGCATAGAATCAACGAATTTTATTTTTTAACCGACCCAAATTTACTTATATGGACACATTACCCAGACGAGAAAAAATGGCAGCTACTACCTAAACCTGCTTCTATTAAAGACTTCGAAGAACATTTTTATGTCCGAGAACGTTTTTATATTCTAGGAATGGAAACTATCGGCCCTGGAGCCGATAAATGTTTGTTAAAAACGGACGGAGGTGAAAAGGACATCAATTTTAAATTACCATCAAATGATAGCTATAATTATAGGTATAAATACATGTTGTATCAGTCTAGGAAACAAAAGAATGTCGAAGGCAACGTGAACGTGTTTTTGGATCGCTTTGTCTTTTTTGAACACACCGCAGATCTTCTGCATTTTCAGTTACGCTTCCCAGTGACCGGTGATTTTAAAATGGATATATACGGCTTGGATGTTAATTCGTCTGATACTTTTGATTTGTGTTGTACTTATATAATCCGTTGTCCAACTGCGAAAAAGGGATGTATGCCGTTCCCAGATTGTCCACCACTAGGCTGGGGTCCGATAGGAGACACAAAACAGGTTGGGCTCCATCCCCAATCCCACCAAAAAGGTGTAGTTGAATCAAAGGATGGAAATGTTGAAATACGCTTTAAAACAGAAAAAGAAATTCAGCTTTATCAAAATTTGAAACATTCTGTTCTGGATGATGCAACCTTGAGTAGGTATACCATGACGCGACAAGAAGGCGACGAAGCTGTTGTCAATCTCAGGTTACCTCAAAAGGGTGAGTACGCCCTCAAGCTCTATGCCCAGGGCAAGGGTAAAGATGGAGAGGCTCCCAATGTGTGTAATTATTTAATCCGTTGTGATGGAACAGGGTCTTCTACCAAAGCGTTCCCGAACATGATTGATGGAAAACTAGGGAAGAGTCATCTGTGTGATAAATTGGGTATCAAGGCTCTAACTCACCCTCACGGTTACATAGAAACCGAATCAGGAAAGGTTAAAGTGAAATTTTCCTCGAAGAAAGACGTAGATCTAGTGTGCGAGCTTCACAGTCAGGACTCAGATGCTATCAAACGGGCCAAAGCTGTTACTTCCAATAGCAAAGGCGAATGGCAATTTGATCTTGACTTGCCGACTTCAGGGGAATATTCTTTAAATGTGTTTGCTCAAGACAAGAACGACTCTGGAAGAATTTATAACGTTCACACTTATCTGATCCAATCATCCGGCTATGGAGAACAAAATAAGGAAGATGGATATAATTCAGATGATGACCAAACTACAACAGTAGCATCTGAGACAGTTGATACATCCGACAAAGAAATACTGATTCCTGTACCACCAGGTAAGAGGAAATGTATATGGAACAACACGGACTAAAATTTATACAGTGGCAACAAGCTTATTCCAGTCAGAATAACTTGCTGTCATTAATCAACTCCTAAACATACTAAATGCTAAATATGCATATTAATTCTGACAGCTTAAGCTTCATTAAACACTATGCAATTTACCCCTCGATACCCTTGTTAAATGTATACATACGCTATTTTGGTATAGCGAACTTTGTTAATTAGTGGGGTTTTCAATCTCTATTTGAGAACATGTGAGATATTTTCGGATGCAGTAAGCTGTAAATGGCCGTGTTTTACACTATGAATTGGACATAATTTATATGGATTGACAACATTGTTACTTGAATCTACATTAACAATGACCTTTGCCAACGCCCGTAAAGGGCATGTCCGAATTGTTAAAAATGTACAATATGAAGTTTTGTTTATTAAATCGTCACCCAAATATGGCATGCTTTATCTGATTTTCATCGTCTTAATAAAAATGAGCACTAAACGACCACACCTATTTATATAACCCATCGTAAGCGATATAATCTAGGCTTCCTTAAGTGTGTTATTTCATTGGCATGTTTATGAAGTCCCACTTTAAAGCAATCCTTATTTATATTCCCGGATTATTCTCATTTGTATTTTTGTTAATTATTAAATTGTGATTTATTAAAGGTTGTAATAAAGCTGTTGCTGCGGTCCATAGAAAGAATGCTAACGACCCCCCTAGCACTGATCAAATTCAGTTCATCAATCAAGATGATTCGCAGTTTGTTAAAGTAGAACTGAAGGAATATGGCGAATATATGCTGAACTTGTATGATGTAGAATCTGGTGGAATTGTTAAAAATGTTGCCAAATACCAAATAAATCGTAAACCTGCAAGTGAACTCTATGATTCTAATATCAATAACATCATGGAGTCAGTGATGGGAGCTGGGGGGTTACAGGTACCACCACCAGATCCAACACCTTCTCCAGATCTAGATAAAGAAAATGCCAAAAAATCAGAAGGTAAGTTATGATTTTCTGTCCCACATTTGTTGAAATATTCATATCTACTTGAGAGTATTGCCTTTGGTTGTTCTCTTTATATGATCAAAGGAAAACCTTCTCTATAAAACAGAAACTAAGAAAATTTAATCACGATATTGTGAATAACTGTAATATTATTGAGACTAAAGTTGGAAACAGTGAAATAAATTTATCTATATTTTCTTGTCAATAAGTAAATAAAATAACGATAATTAATGATATAATAATTTTTATATAAATGTTTCAAGGGGAATATCAAGGAAGTAAAATTCCTAGAGGACCTTCTTTTAGGAGAAGTAAGAACTGCATGGATTTCTGAAAGTTGTATTTGTTAGAATAGATTTAGACAAAAAATACAAAGATAAATCTATTCTGTTGACAAATTAATATCTTGCTAACTTTTGACGTGTGTTCACTGAATGCGTACTTATATGCATGTAGCAAGAAGGTTTCTTTTGGATAGAATTATAACGATTATAAGATTTGGTTCCAACTACAGTCACAGAATGCATGTCAACAGGGTTGTTTCTTTGGCTTGTGAATCCGAAACTCCGTTTAGACTATAGGTCACATTTTTACTACAATTTATTTTCATTTACATCATATAGATTTCATGTGGAGAATGTCATCTCCAATACTACGTATGGTTACGTTTATTGTTATCTAGCACATTATACTTATTAGCATTCACAAAGTAGCATATCATTAATACTCAATAGGAATATAAAGGGTCGTAGTAGTATTCCCTGTATCACCACTATTATATATTTTAGCAATTCAATTCAGTTGATTTGAGTATGTTCCTTTAGTAGTTTTTCTAAAACAGAGACAAAACACCCCTCGTAGCATCCAGTATATATTGACAATGCTTAGAAATGATGTAGTTATTTGTTAATTACATGTACTGATTATCCATAAAATAGACAACCATGGTACATTTTTTCTTATTTAATTAATCAACTAAATTTCCCTGATGTAATGCAAATTTATTGGAAATTACTTGATCAAATTCTTACACGTTGATTGACTATTAAATGTATTTCAAACTAACAATATTCGTTGAAGTTTCAGCTCTTAATAAAATTGATATTTAAAAGACGTAGTTCGTATCCATTAACACAAAACTAATTCCTGATATACCATTGTTTCTTAGACCATTTTTGGATTCATTTTTGGAGAATATCGTTCAAATTTATGTGATACCTGGACATATCTTTTAAATGGATTTTATATTTCAGAGGAAAGGCGAAATCTTGCAAGAAAACAGGTCCTACAAGCCCTTGACCTTAGAGATGCTCGCCAGTTAGAGGTAGCACTCAAAAAGTACGATTCGTTACAACCCAACAAGAATGACGACTTGTTGAAGAAAGCCAAGAAAACGCTTGACTTACTGAAGGCTAAAATAGGTAATTTATTTCATTGAATATAAAAGAAATGAAATGAAATGAAGTTTAGCGTCCTGCTGAGCTAATGAAGACGGGCATATGCCATACAGTGTGCTGTGAGGGAAATTTTGCCCGGGCACCGCCACTATGGACTAAACTTATATCGAATTCCAACTGCCCTAGGGATCTTTTACGTGCACGCCAATGTATACACGGGACGTCGTTTTTTTTCCGTTCCATCCGAACGACTAGACAGCTGAATTGTCGGGTCCTCCTTCCTGCACCACTGACAAGGTGAAACCACGTCAGAAATCCCTATGAACTTTCTCGGTCAATACAGGGATTGAACATGCGATCTCCAGGCTAGCGAGCGTCTTACCCACTTAGCCACCGTGGCTCCCGAATATACAAGAACTTATGTAAATAAATTTTAAAAAAACTGCCTCGCTGTATCTATTCCAGTATGCCTGCTAACGTTTTTAATTTAATGTCTCTGGCTTTTGAAATTGAACCCATTCGCTATACTGTGCTAACGAAGAATACGCCCTTGGTCAACAAACCAAAATAGAAAGCAATCAGCAAAAGGATCGAGTATTTTCGGATAAATATTAAAGCAACGGGTTAATAAATGTATCTGATAAATTTCTGTTAGTTTCATAAGTGTTTTTTTTTATTATTTTTTTATTATTTTAAATATAGAAATATTTCGATATTCGTCATTTTTTAAATTTTATTAGCGATACTCACGGGTTTAATTATACAATTTCCAAACAGTTAATTACATCACCGCAAGTAAATCTGAATCCGTTGAGATAGTGTTTGGCCGACATGACGTAATGACAGGAACACCTTGAATTTTTGTATTATTTGGTTAATCAAATATTAGCTTAATATAATATATTCAATAATTTTACAGAGTTGACAGATGCTTCGCACAAACGAAGTCTTCCAGCCTTAGAGGCCGCCATCAAGAATGCCAAAGCAGTAAATTTTGATCACAGTCTGGATCTACAAATTGCTATGGTAGTACGTCTCCGGGATCACATAGCAAAAATAGAGAAACTGCGCCACGAAGTCATGAATATGGAGCAGAAAACCATCTCAGAAATCCGAACCTACAGCAAACCGCCCGATGGCGTTCACCAGACGTTAATGGCTACGTTTTTACTGCTGGACAGTGATATGAAAGATGTGAAGGTATGTACATGTGTCGCGCAAATACCCTACGCATTACCCTCATACCAATATCCAAGTAGTAAATGGAAACGAATTGCCGGGTTACGTAAATGTAATATGTCGACGCTTTAGGTGTATGTTGGATTTCTTTGTATTTAATTTACCTTTAGGATCGATTATCTAGTATGCTTTTCTGTCTGTACTCTTTTGCCACGCACATGTGCCCGGAACAACTTTATTCAAAACAATCTGAACAATTACTGCCTTATCAACAATTCTTCCAAAATAAAATCTCGTTAGGAGTTTGGCGACAGAGCACCTGCGATGAACGACGGACAAAAAAATCCAACTGACCCGTTAAAAGATGGCAAAATAATTTATATCTAATGTCTCTGTTTGTTTTTTTTCCAAGGAATGGAGATCCATACAGATATTACTGGGAAAAACTGGAAAAGAGTCCTTTATGAGAAAAATTTCTTTTTTTGATCCAAAGGCAGTGAGGCTATCCACCGCCACGGCAGCTAAGAAGGCCATCAAAAACTTTAACCGTGATCAAATACGACAAATTAGCGCAGGCGCAGCCACCTTCTATATTTGGGTAAGATTATAAATGTTCCTTAAAGATAATTTTCAAGTCACATGCTTATGATAAAAAAAATAATCGATTTCAAGGGAGGTAATGATATGTTTTACCAAGAGTCTTTTTTCCAGTCGGCCTTAACCCTATCCAAGATTTCCCCATAGATGATTTAATTTTATGTCCTGAACTCCTCACCAAGAAACACAATCTCCCCGGTCGGCCTGACAATAGACAGTAACAATAAGATAAATGTTTCCATGATGTTGAGATATAGTTAGATTTTACAATCACAAACATTCTTTTATCAACTTTCGGATACGTCGCATAATGAGACAGCCCGAAATAAACGCTCAATTTTTTCTTTAATTTCAGGCTACTGGTATGATAGAGGAGGTGGAGACATTGGGAGGCGCTGAGGCAAATGAAGGAACCAATCGATTAAGGCTATAGATCATTACAATTCCACATATTGTTATAAATATTATAAACCTATATAAAAGGACATTAGCGGCTGTACATATTTGGTATGTTTATTGATGTAGATAAACAATTGATTTATAATATATTTATTGCTCCGGTTACATGTAAAGATATTTGATTAGGATTTTATATAAATTGAGAAGAAATGAAAACGCATCACTTTTGGAAATGGATGATTGTAACTCTTGTTTGAAAGATACATTTTAATCTTGGAACAACATCACATCACACATAAGAATAACAAGCTAGAGTTAGTACAACTTATATAGTTCTGTGGAAGACGCAACAATATGCCATGTTTGACAACTGAACACCGAAAACGCGCCATAATTGCGTTAATTCAATAAATAATGAGTATAGGATTCACTGTAAGCAGTGCGTTTCCAAAAGCGGCTGATAGACCCTGTGCGCGACGTTGCATGTCGTGTGTGGTTACTAGAATTGGGCTCACACGTTACTGACTTTTGAATTTTACATCTTGTGTCTATGTTTCACTGTTAAGTAAAGTTGTTTCGGCAACCATGTGTTGTTGATTTTCTTGTGTTAGTAAAAGTCAATCGTGCCAAATATCACATTTCAGCCGCTTCCAGTCAAATCAGTGGTATGTTTTCATTGCGTTTTTAATTTTATGTTATGTTAGTGCTTTATAAAAGAGTTTAAATATTATATGACGCCGTGACTTTGGTGTAATATTTCACTATTTTTCATCTGATAATGTATTAAAATAACATTGATGAAAATAAACGAAGGATAACTAGAACGTATACAATTATTTAAAGCCCCCTGTAGATTATGTAATTCTAAATCATATTATAACTATGAATTCGTACCGTTATCTTTAACTGCCAATGTTTATGAAAATAGTATAATCATCACACATGTCTTTTGCTGTCTGGCCTTGCTTAGTTAGAATAATAATTATAATCAATTGTATACATATTTTAGGATAATAGGTAGATGTTTTAATTTCATTTGTTTATTTTTTTATATTTCATAGTATCATCCATGTTTATCGCTAATACTATTTCAATCTTTGTTCCTTATATAGAATGATATAACATTTTATAACCACATCTTATATAATGTTATTAATTTAAGCCCTTCTGTGATAATATTATTTATAATCAACCATATATTTATATTAATCGTGATTGTATATATCCGTCCAATGTATCTACCTCCTACAAATGAATTCAGCAGGCTTCCTATGTCCATTACAATGTGTGGTGCGTAAAGATATTGAAGATAGTGAAGATAGTGAAACATTCTCAAACTTAACCAAGAATTCATTCTAAATTTAATCAACTTCCCTAAATCAATCAATAAAATCTGCACATATCAAGTTCATAATACCGAGTAATTTCATAAATGCTGCCCATAGATCATAATATTTTCACAATTTAAATGCTTTATGTTACATTGTATAGTAATAAATGTTTTAACAGGCAAATCAATAATGTATTGTTATTCGAATCTTAATATTACATTATTATTATATAATAACATATAGGGAACACAAATTACTTTAATTTATTACACTTCGATGTGCGTTCTCTCACCAGTAACTTGTGCTAAATATGCTGTCCGTTTCTAAATGCGACTGAAAGGACAATGCAGTCACGGTTTTCTGATCTCACAGAAATCAGTTCATCTTATTCAGATTTAGATTCAAACCAATATCCTCTATCAATCTAAAACATACGTTCTTTAAAGGAATTGTTAAAGAGGTAAAAATCGGCGGTGTAGCTGCTTGCGAACTCCACTTCAACCAGTAACTTTTTTTTTTCTTGTCGCTTCAGATTTTGCTGATTGGTCTTAAATTATAGTTGTGTGGTCAGTTTAGCCTTGCTGTTGACACTTAAATTGTCTTTTAAACCATTTAAAATGTTATATTCATTTTAAGTACAAATTACGACCAACATGTTATTGCTTATTTTAGTCATCATTACACATTTTTTTCATTTGATAAATATAATATTGTTATGAAAAGGACTGTGTTTTTGTAGTCTATGCTTAAAATTATCTGTAATCCTAACCCAAATACCTGCTGCGCAACCAATCAATCACTCGGCCTTTAAGCGCAAGGTACCCCCCCCCCCTCCTTTAAAAACCCAACCTCAATAGAATCAGACGTCAACTAACGTTTTACTTTTGAGGTTTCACTACATCAAAACATCCTGCTTGAATCCTGAATTCCGTTTACGTGAACTGGTTGACTAATCAATTGGTCAGGGAATTATGGAAATATAATATGTTTATAAGAACCTACTGTCTGTTCCAGGTGAAACTCTGGCTAGAAAATTGTTTGCCATTTCTTCAATTTTTAATTAAAGTGGCTAAAATGTAGCCACCGGGAATTGTCACGCTTTTGCTCAACTGCGTGGGAACTAATCAAGCTATATGACCCCTTTCCATTTAAAAAAAACCAAAAAACCCCCGCGAATTCTTTACATCGCGGCACCGAAGATAACACATGTTTGACCCAGTTATCTGGAACAGCCGAAGATGGCCGGATGTAGTTTTAACTTTGAGTCCTTGCATGTTTAGATAGTTGTTTCGGCCCATTAGAATATAACTTTTTTTAAAGCACTACCTAAGGGAGGTAATATTAGTTTGCCTTCAGACCACTGCAGTTGTTTGTCCCACGGACAATCCGAGGTCTGTTGATAATATCTCCACACAATGTTTAACCTGATATTGTACTGACGCGTGATGGAAATTTGAAAGAAAGCTAGATGACATATCCACAAAATGTCCAGACAGAGCTCTTGCAAATCGAGGCCTGAAACACGCTGGAGGGTATAGACATCCCAAACGGGAAATGTATCGTCATCATCCCCACCTAAACCATGTAGTCTTGCTCCAACGAATGGTGCATTTGTAACTAGGGAACGTAAAAAGATGTCACCACCAAGCTATTGTGTGGTGTACACTGAAAGATCGTAATCTGTCGGAACTTGACTCGGAACTGTATTGCTGGCTTAAAGACACTAAATAGAGAACACTGCAACCGGTCAACTTGCTCCGGAATCTGTCATGTGGCTCATCAGAGGTGGATGCAAGAATGACAGCTCATGTAGTACGCGTGTTCGTAGCTGCACTAGATTATACAGTATTTTGCGCTTGTGCTGTCACAGGTTGTAGCCAGAAACACGACTAAAGGATTAAACTGAATAGTACCTAGTTTTGTGGTGATTATTTTCGTGTTTTGCGGGAAGAATTTGTTCTTTTAAATGTTCAAAAAGAGCTTATTTTCAGGGCCAATCCATGTGTCCCTGGAACTCCCGATAGGCATGTATGTAGTGTTATGGTATCACTCATATGCTCCTATGTCCAGAAATATATAGTTTGTCTCTAAATATAGTTTGGTTTGGTGAAATAATCGCCCCAACCGCCGCTATCGAGTTAAAGGGTCATATTGTCTGGCATTGTGGATTTTACCATCATCTAATCACCCCACAACATAATGAACGATCTCAGTGTATTCCTTGACCCCCAAAATATACGGCTAGACACCAATATCATCATCCTAGAGTAACTACTATGGGAGTTATGGGGGATATTTGAAAAGGCAGCCGTCTTGGATGCCATCTTGAATTTCACAAAACGTGAACCAAGGTTCACCGGCAAATTCTGAAAGAGGACACCCTAAGCTACTGAAATTAATCATAAAAAAACTTTGTGTACGATTTCCAGGATAAGTCATAGTTCTGTCAGACTAATAGTGTGGTGAATATACTCCATCGGATCTTCACCTTCCGCCATTTTCAGGGGTATTGGGGGAGGGGGTGTCGTGGATGGCCGGATGGTTAGCACGTGCGCGCTGTATCATAGGGTCTGTCATTGAGTCAACTGGCGTGGTTTCGATTCCCCGGTTGTACGTCACAAGGAGTAAGGTCGCCTGTCCAACCTCGTGGGTTTTCTCCGGGTCCCCCCCCCCCCCACTGCTAAAGACCCCTACGAGCAAGCGAATTTTTAAAATAAAATTGAACCCTGTGTTAGTCCCGAAATTAGCTAGTTTGTGTCGAGTGGACGTTAAACCCCATTTCTCTGTCTCTTTTTCCCCCGACATTTTCAACCAACGGTAGATCAGTTTCATTCTAAGCATCATTTCGGCCCTTATAATGAATTTTATGAGTGCAAAATTGTATAGTCTTTGGGCCATCTTGGATTTCCGCCATCTTGGACTCTACATCCCTGAAAAGCATAAAATGGACACATTACAAGCCACACCCGACCTTTCTAAGTGATCTGTCAAGCTCAAAATGGAAGTAATTCTGGAAAATGGCCGCTGACAGTCATTTTTGGCAAGGAAATAGTGAAAATATTACGGTGTAAGTTTGACCCAGAGTGGACTTCAGTGACAGATAGAAACCTTAGAAATTACGAAAAAAGTGAAACACCCTAGTGAACAACGACAAATATTGTGAAAAAAATATTTTAGGACGGAGGAATGTGCACGACGTCCCATTACAGTTTAATCTGGAGCCACTTTCGGGCATTGACCATCATTTTATTTCGTCATTTTTTCGAGCAGAAATGCTGCCGCTAAAATGAGGCTTGTTGGGGTATGTTGGGTTTTGAGGCGAAAAGGCAAAGCGTTTCATAACGTTGATGCATTATATAAAAATAATCGAGGCCCAACAGCTTTCAGTTTATATGCGCACGGGAGTATCTACATGTATAATTAATTGACCAGCATCTATATGGTACATACTAGAGAACTATAAGTCATGGGGATACGGTGGAGGGGATGTATTTATCAATTGATATGTGAGGGATAGCACTTTAAACTTATACGTTCACGAATCCTCAGCCAATGCAAGGATTTTTTTTATACAGGAGAAGTGTTGCCTTGATACGATTCGAACACTCCGTTCTGTTTGAACTGAAAGAGTTAAGTTTTGACATAATGCACCAAAATAGAGTAGCAGCTGCATCTCTTGTTATCAAGTGTCCGTTAGATTATAGTAAGAGATCCTAAATAAATGACTCACATGATATTGCATTGAGAAAGATGAATCAAGAAATATCACGGGATTCTTTACATTCGAGGAAAATTGGTTGATTGCGTCATCAATATTTAGGCAAGATATTCTCACAATTCTTGAGACGTGTTGGAGGTCCGAACAAAATGGTTCCTGTTTTCTCACCATTGACACAACCTTCTATTGTCAGATAGACATTCAACTGATTTTGAAATGACAAAAATGATATTAAATCCATTTAGATGTATTTCAAAAACCTCACTTTTCCTCCTAACTTCAATGACTAATTCACACAAAAGTTAGCATTGTAGCAAATTTCAAAGTTTGTGCATATGTTTGCTTGAAATTTTATTGATTATCATTACTACAATCATAGACTTTCAGAAACTGCTTACTTACATAAATGAGCAAACTTGAAACGTTGGTATCATTTTTTGGTGATGTTCCCGCAGTCCCACCCCCTAGAAAATGAACTTCACTTAGACCCCTAACAGACAGAGGCGACATAACTTTAATGAATTCATGTTCGTGGAAAATTATGACCATTAGAGCGCTTATAAAGTTCCGGAGTAAAGGGCCCCCAAAATTCTTCAACGTTGGAACAACAGCCCGTTTACGATAACAGTGGAATGTGCGAATACAATCTGATCAAAACACAGATCCTATTTCGTTTCGTTTTTAATAGTTCAAAATTTCATTTTTTTTTTGGTCTTTACTACACTAGGATCTGGAAGAGCTGTTATGTAATCCGCGTTCTGGTTGATGTGAGGTATTAGCCAATGAAACGGTTTGTTACGACGAGTTCTTGGCGTGAGATTCACGAAACTGTAAGTAAACCACTAGAAACGCCAACGCCGATTGATTAATCAATGTCTGACGTCATAGGGCCAAAAGCCGCTCGTATGGCCCTGATACGACCTTCCACTACAACCGGTCGAGGGTAAAAAAAACAACGAAACCAAATATAAATCTGCATTTTAATCAGATTGGTGCGAATATGAATAGAATGAACATAATATAAATACGAGTAAGCCACAAATATAATAACAACAAAACACATACTTATGGAAAACAGCTACTAGTGTATTTAAGGCGACGTTTCGTAGAGTGTTCTCTCAACGTTATCAATATAATGTTTAAAGATAATGCATACAACAAAAATATTATTTTATCTAAATGCATTAATAAAAACTCAAAGCAAGAACAACGCAACAAACTAATTATAATCACATATCATAGTTTACAAATAAAAGTACATATATAGTTTGAAGTATGTCATTATCTTAATAATAGTCATGATTTCCTTTGTAAAATACGAGGTTGGTGGTCGAGTGCGCTTTTACCATAAACGTTTAAAGTCTGACATGGAGTCAAGTGGCGTGGTTTCTCCGGGTCCTCTGCCCCCCCCCCCCATCTGCTAAAGGCCCTTATGCGCAAACTAATCATTGAAATAAAAACGTACCACATGTTACTCCCGAATGACCTTGTTTGTGTAGAGTGGACGTTAAACCCCATTTATCTCCCTCTCTCTCTCCTATGTAAACAATGGTGGTGTATAGGTTAATCCAAACGGTGTCTCAGATAACGACACTCTTTCAAATACGATAAATCATACTTCTTAGCATCTTCCTCCTCTTTTTCTTTGTTTTTGGAATTTAAAATGTCTAAAAACGCCAGCACTGCTTGATTAGAAGTCATTGAATGTTTGCGGATACTCAAACGCCTTCCGGTATTCATATTAGAAATAACGGATAATCGTCGCCAACGTTGTGCTACACCATCTCCGGGCGCAGACGTTAGGGTTTGGTTGCCATGGTTTTCTGAGTTCACGCTTCTAAAACTCAACAGTGCTTGACTTGGACATTGTTCCGGAGATTCTTTTTCGATACCCTCCTGGTTTTCTGTATCGGTTGTCACGGCTTTAGCTAAAATTTTCCATTTACTCCCAACGGAAACAGAAATATGATTTTTTACCTCTAGAGTGGGAGAGGGTGA